CTGGCGGTGCTCAAAGTTTGGTCGGTGCGCCGCCACCGAGAATTCCAAGCGTACGCTGTTCAGCCTGCCCTGCATTTCGCGGCCTGTGGCGAGTGCCCCGCGCTCGGCCGACACGTCAGGGGTGAAACGACCTGCAGCAGCGGCGGGGCTTGCGGCGGCCGCTGCCGTTGCTGCGGCTGCTTCAGCTGCTTCGCAGTTCGGCGGCAGTACGGATGCCCCAGCTGCTAGCGCTGGAGACGACGGTGCTGCTCGGCGCGATAGTGATGATCAGCGGGCGTCAGCAGCGGCGTCGAGTGGTGCGGGCGCGGAGTCGGAGGCCCCAACGGACATGGCGAGGGGCCGCGACATCCGCATCACCAACGGCTTCCGAGTGTGTATGAAATGCTGTTATTTCGTTCGTGAACGTGAGGGGCTCGTCCGTGAGCTTGGGAAGGATTGCACGGGGCACCCTCGCAAAGGAGACAGTGCTGGACGAGTTCGACAGCAGCGGAGAGACCTGATTCTGTTGGGCAAAGATCCCAAGACTCGGAGGCCCCTCGCGGGAGCTTGATTCGATGGGGCCACGTGTGGTTGCTGCTGCGGAGTTTCGGCCTCTGGTACATCCACATGTGAGCCTCTGAGTCTTTCTTCTATCATCGCGCGCTTTGCGTGGCACCCCACTCAGTGTGTGATGTCTGTGCTTTCACGTCAACGTTCTTTACTGTTGATTGTGTTTGTGCACGCTTCGCGTGATATCCTCCAATGCGAGCCTGATGTCATGCTTTGTTCTCCCGTGACATAGCACACGCTTCGCGTTGTGTAACCTGGACCGTGCTTTGCGCTTCGCGCGACGCTCGCCCGACGGGTGGAGCTCCGCCGTGCCTTTGCTGTGGCGTGGACTGTGGGGTCCTGCCGTAGCCTTGCATGGTTGATCGGGCCGAGGGGCTCGGTTGTGGCGGCCCTGGTGGCTGTCGTGTGTACAGCTTGGCTGTGCACACCTGGCGCACGCGCGCACGCGCGCACACGCGCACACGCGCACACGCGCACACGCGCACACGCGCACACGCGCACACGCGCACACGCGCACACGCGCACACGCGCACACGCGCACACGCGCACACGCGCACACGCGCACACGCGCACACGCGCACACGCGCACACGCGCACACGCGCACACGCGCACACGCGCACACGCGCACACGCGCACACGCGCACACGCGCACACGCGCACACGCGCACACGCGCACACGCGCACACGCGCACGCGCGCACGCGCGCACGCGCGCACACGCGCACACGCGCGCACGCGCGCACGCGCGCACGCGCGCACGCGCGCACAGGCGCGCACGCGCGCACGCGCGCGCACGCGCACGCGCGCGCACGCGCACGCGCGCACGCGCACACGCGCACACGCGCACGCGCACGCGCCACACGCGCACACGCGCACGCGCGCACGCGCGCACACGCGCACACGCGCACGCGCGCACACGCGCGCCCGCGCGCGCGCACGCGCGCACACGCGCACACGCGCACGCGCGCACACGCGCGCACGCGCGCTCGCGCACACGCGCACACGC